ACGTTGAAAGAATCTTTATCCTACCTACGGATAAAAGGCAGAGACCCTTTTCGTAGAAAACAAGAAATACCGAAGAATGATGAGAAGAAAGGGAAAAGAAATTGAAATAAAAAAAAAGGATACTTGACCGTCTTTCTCTCTCTTTCTCTCTCGTCTGACTTTTATTATACCATATCTCTCTTATTCCTTTTATCAATGACTTTTTCAATGAGTTCAAAAATCCGAAAAGACAAGTTATAATAAAAGGTAGTATTAAAAAGATTTAATCTTTTGAAAAATGAAAGACTTACTGTTGTATATCGCATGACACAGGATTTACAATCATGGGAATTTCGCAATGTAGGCAGTAATTAATAAGAGAGAGAGAGAGAGAGAGAGAGAGAGAGAGAGAGAGAGTTACATGAATGCAACGATGCAGTACCCTTGCAACTCCCATCGGCAGGGAGATCACGGCTATTGTCGCAAATTGGGGGATCGCGATACCCGGATATATCTAGACTATGTGTACTGTCCCCTGTCCTTTCTCACCCCTTCTAGTTTCCTCTATCAGCGTTAATTTCCCTCTACTCTGCTTCCGTCTTCTCAACCACCAACTACACAACCCTTCTACGCCTCTTTCTCATCCACATTCTACACACTTCTACGATCCCTCGCGTATACGTAGCTCCATCGATTTTAGGGTAGCTACTAGGGTAAACATCATTTTAAACAATTACAAGGCAAGAGCCCAATGAAGCCTTGGAAATGGACAGTCACGCTAATACACCCGATACTGATGTTAATCATCAACCGTGTCAACATTTATTTTATCTTAGGTAAGAATTCATCCTGAAGATTTACAATTTTTTAAGCTTTAAATTTAGATTGTCTTTTTTTCTAAACTTTTGTTCATTTTCTTTTTAAGTATTTTTGGGTTTAAAATAAAAGACATTTGAAAAATTAATATAACAATTTAATAAAATATAAAATAACAATGAGACTACTATCTAACGATCATAATAGCAATATGTGTTACTAACATAATCCATATCGTTATATCTATACTTTCTGTTTCTATAATTGATTCTATTATTTTATTTATAATTCCTGAAAAAAAAAGAAAATTCGACACTAGTCCCGCTGACAAGTCTACTTCGTTAAGAACTATAACAAGTTTCTTGATAGATGCGATATGAAAAAATGGTTCCATTAAAACAGGCAACGCGTTAAAGAACGTGTTCAAACAGGTGCACCGGCGGCAATATTTCTTTTGGCCAAGAGTTGATAAATTGGAGAATGGTATAATAAATGATGTTACCTAGCTTGTCGAGAATAAATATAGACTTATGCCGTGGTAAGATAAATGTATATCCTTTATCGTGTTGTATATGTGTGTATATAGGATTACCTTTATTTTCTTTAACAGAACATTGCTTGGATGAAAAGTAAATCCTTATCATGGAAAATAATGTTGCGGGATTTGATATGAATGAATAGATTAAATGAGGTTAATATAATACTTTAATCGAAATTGATGATACGAATATATTTTTAATATTAATCAATCACTTAACTAACAAGTACGTTATCTTTTAATATACACACCTTTTATATTATTATTATCACATCATTATTAAATACTCTCATTTTATCTAACCTACTAATGCATTTCTAATATTTAAACGAGATATTCATTTACACCGTTATCACTCATAAAATATCCGTTCACATAATTAATCATAATATTAATCGTATTTTCTTACTTACTAAAATAATATTCTAAGTATACCTCAAGAATTGAATATTTGTACAATTTAATCAATCAATAACATCGAAAATCCTCTTTTATTCGATTTACATGACAATTGTATTAAATTGATTCGATTACGTCAAACGAAGCAAATTTAAATTGTTTAAAAATATATTATAATAAACGTACGGTTCGTTGATACTCATTAGAAGATTAACTTAGCAAAAGACAAATCGTCCTTATTTTATTCGAGATACACCCTAACCTCAGAAAAGCTTTAGTCCATGCTAGATAAGGAATCACTCGGGATTCTCTCAAAAGGACGTATCTGAACCGTGGTCGTTGGGGCTTCGAACGAGACTTGGTATAGAAATACGATAAAGGATACAAGAAGGAAAGAGAGAGGAAAGGAGAGAAGAAAGAGAGAGGTAGAGATAGAGAGAGAGAAAGAGAGAGAAAAGTTGAATCGTATTAACGGGTCAGAAATATATTGTGTGGATGTCGGTAGTAGAAGCAGCACCGGCAGGGTTTATCGGTAAACGCATATGGAGTCAACCGCGCACTGAGTTACCTTAATTTGGTGCGGAGTAGATGGCGGCTGTGGTTCAGCCTAGCGTGAAACTCTCATCAACCACTATAATTACCGGCATAGAGTACACCTTTCTCGCTCTCTTCTCTTCTTTTCTCGTCTAGTCGAATTGCAAGCAGCACGACCACAACCACCACTACCATTGCCAACTCAAAGCACTCTTTGTGTGTGTATGACGTTTTGTTTTCGATTTTTATTTCATTTTCTTCTTCTTATTCTTCTTCTTCTTCCCTTATTTTTATTTTGTTTTTTGCTTCTTCTTTTTTTCTCTTCCATTTCTCTACTTTAGATCGACTACAGACCAAATTTTTGCTATTCGGCAGATCTTAGAGAAAAAATGAGAATTTAATCAGCCGGTACATAAACTTTAAATAGATTTTTAAAAAACGTACGACTCGGTAAAATGAGAAAAAATGCTCGAAATCCTAATACGACAGGGGATACCAAGAAAATTGGTCAACCTTGTTCAACTTTGCCCAAAGGAAACTAGGAGTAAAGTGAGGTTAGGTAACCAAATGTCGGAAAATTTTAATATCCATAACGGGTTAAAACAGGGGGACGCATTGTCACCCCTTTTGTTCAATTTAGTACTGGAATTCGCTATCAAAGAACTGCAGAAAAGTAAAGATGGTCTACAGTTGAACGGGATAACACAATTGTTGACATACGCGGACGATATTGCTTTGTTAGGGGACAATGAAGAGTTGAATTAATAACGCAAAAATATTAATAGATAATACTAAAGATCTGGGACTGCAAATAAGCACGGAAAAAACCAAATATATGGTAACCGATAGAGTTCAGAATAGGCCTAGTACTGGAACTTTGGTCGTCCGGAATAAAACTTTTGAGCCGGTCAGTAACTTTAGGTATTTAGGATCGATCATAAACCAGACGAACGAAATTAACGAAGAACTTAAGAAAAGAATCAATCTAGGCAATGCATGTTTTTATTCGGTTAACAAATTACTCAGCTCGCGGTTGCTGTCTAGGCGATTAAAAATCAGGATATACAGGACAATCATCCTGCCGGTAGTTCTTTATGGTAGCAAATCGTGGTCGCTTACGTTACGGGACGAAAAAAAATTTAGGGTTTTCGAAAACGAAGTTCTTCGTAAAATCTTCGGTGCAAAACGCGACGAGAAAACGGGAGAATGAAGAAAACTCCATAACGTTAAAGTACATCGATTGTACAACAAACCGGACATTATCAACGTCGTAAAATCACGCCGATTAATATGAGTTGGTCACGTGGCGCGCATGGGGAAGGATCGAACGGCGCACAAAATATTGGTCGGTATATCAAACGGGAAAAGACCACTAGGTAGACCGAAACGTAGATGGAAGAATAATATTAGAAGGGACCTGAAAGAAATAGGATACGAAGACCGCGAATGGAAGGATCGCGCTTAGGCACGGAAACAATGGCGGGATTTGGTATTTGCGGCAATGAACTTTCGAGTTCCTAATGTCAATTAATAATAATTTATCTACTTTTTCTACTACTTTTCTCTGTCGTTTTTTCCCGTTTTTAGATTTTCAACATCCGTACGTGTTCGTTGATGTTCTTTTTTTTAAAACGACACCAACGGTATTTATTTTCTCAAAGCTTTACGAATAATCAACAAATTTCTATGAATTGTAAGAAATCGTTGAACATTATATCGTGTTCTCTTTGATTATTTTTATTTCTTCATCTTTATAGAGTTACTTGACACTATTTGATTATCTTCATTCGATGGGAACAAAATATTCATTTAAAAAAAAAGTAGTAGATTCATCTTTACCAACCTATGCTTGCTTCGCTATTTAACAATTTACGTGGTCCATTAAATTTTCAAGTTCCATTTGATGGTACAATATTTTCTACTTTTCGGATGGAGTAGGCGGTTACATACTAAATCGGAAATTCGGAAATCTGAATTTCATTGATTGAAATGTTATACGAATAATACTCGATTTTCGTTGAACATTATATATTTTTTTCTTTTATATATTATACATTACATAAATGAAACAATAGTATACCTAATAACAAAGCAACTTCCTTGGTATAAGTGATAGAACACAAGACTTACAATTAAAATCACAATAACTAAAATTAACTTCTAAATAAATAATAAAATGCCTAATTGACTAGAACAATTTTTCTTCCTTGATTAAAACAGAACACTCGAATTCATTAAAAAAGATCAAATTCGATTAACACAAATATAATCAAACTATACAGAAATGAAAAATTCTAACAAAACTATAAATTTCCTTAACTTAATTAAACTATAAAAATCCTTAACTATCGTGCAATCGATGCATCTCTAAATTTACCAAAAAGAAAATAACATTGATGATATTATCTAAACACGCTATCAAATTTGTCTCAAAGAGATAATAATAATACATAAACTACTTATTCCTACTTGTACAGTTGATAAGTAAAGAAAACTTATAATCACTTTCAACTTATTTCGACGCTCTATCAGAATTGTTGAAAAGTAAAGGAAGGAAATGTTTCAACAACTCCCATTTTGATGGGTTGCTGCTGACGCGTAAGATAATTCAGCTGGCTAATCTCAGGAGAGAAAAGCTTTTGTCGTATAGAGAGTACTAGTAGGAAAGAAAAGGAAAGGAAAGGAAAGGAACATTTGTCTCGGTTTAAGACAATTGAAAGTGTGAAACACTTACCGCTGAGCCAGGTCGCGTTGAAGCTCTTGGGAGATAACGAACCGGCGAGCCATTCTTCGAGGGAAATGCCAGGCGCGTTTGTCGTTCTTGATGTTGAGCTATCCGGGCTGCCGGTCAAAAGAATTACTGCGGCAACTACCAAGGCCAATACGACAATGGCTACCAAGCCGCCTGCCAACAGCCAACGCCAATTTGTCCGCTTGTTCTTCGTCATTAGATTCTGCAACGATAAAACGCGTGCTCCGTGATAAAAGGTTACCCCATAAAATGCTGCAAGAGGTATTTCATTGCTCTTCCCTACCAGTTTCTTTTTTTCTTTCTTTCTTTTTTCCTTTTTTTTTTTTTATTCAGATTTTACACTATTTTTTTGCGATTTATATCATAAAATGTTTAAAACTTCAAACGGACCGATTTAAGAGACAATTCCTTCTACTTTATTTTTTCTAGATGATTCTGATCTTCAAACTGATCGCAAATCAGGACACTTTTATAAACGTTTAATTGGATAAATGAATGTTAATCAAGGGATTGTATGTAAGTAGAAATAATATTTACTACGTTCGATGATAGAAATCTTTTTGAGAACTTTTTATCTTCTAGCAAGTCTGTAATTTTACGCATCGTAAACTTTTTCATCTCTCTCTTTCTCTCTCTCTCTTTCTCTATCTCTATTTCTCTCTTTTTCCCTTTATTTCTTCTTATTTTATCCAACTTCGTTAAAGTTGAATATATAGGAGTAAGTAATTAAGAAAAGTGAAACTGGAGGAAAGTATAATGGATAAGAAAGATAAAGGACGTATAGTTTAAAGACTTGATATTACAGATTCATTAAATAATCTACTGCGCTTCTGGATAAAATTGTTTCTGGTTAAAAGATATTTTTTATTTATTTATTAATATACCTCGAAATCGTAATAACTTCAGCTATTCTTACTTTGATAATTTAGCACAATGACGAATCATTAATCGAATATTCGCAAAAAAGAAATATTCGTAATTAAAGCGAGTAATAGAGGGAAGGAAGAAGATAAAAAACTTCATTAAATTTATTGACATTTAAGTTAACCTCATATATCTTGTTTAAAATGAAAGCGAGCAATTTTCTACTAACCGGATATATAAAGGAGGAAAAATCAAGACGCAATATATCCGAGAGGGACTTTTCAATAAAGCAAAATTTCTCGGAGAATAAAATACAAGGAGGGAATTGAAGGAAAGAAAAAAAGAAAGAGAGAGAGAGAGAGAGAAAAAACAAAAGATAAAAAGCGGAGAGGTCAGTCGAAATAATTTCCGACGCTTGTGAAATCGTTCCTCGTAGTACCAGAGATATAACCATCTTTTTGATATAACAACGATTTTCCTTTACTCGCGATTTTTTCAAATCATCTATCCGCCGACTATCGTCTCTGATAGAGTGCGGTTCTGATAAAAGAAATATATATATATATATATATATATATATATGTATAAAATGGTAGTAGAAACCTTGGCAAATCTTATCGAGAATTGGATTTCGTATTTCCGTGAAAATAACAGGACCGAGATGAGACCGCTTCCGCGTGAGATCACCAATTGGCAATTTTATATTTATAAATCTTCCTTTTTATCGAAATGAAATTTCATCATCCTTGCGCAAAACTATAAGCCATTCTTTCCAACAAACTGCTTACGCGCGTTTCTTCTTCTTCTTAAACTCAAAAACTCGGTTCAAAAATTTTAGTCTGATTAAATCCTAATTTAATGTTTTCAAAGTTTTGTGCAATGTAGGAAATTTCACAATCAGCACAATTTTTTTTTTTCATTCGTTCGCATAAATTTTTTCCTTCAAAAAGTTTTTAACTCTAACCCTTTAACATTAAGTCTTATTTTACTTCAACGATTTAAAATTTGTAGATATTGTAATCTATTATCAGTATTTTGTTAATAATTAATATAATCATTTAATATATTATTGAATAAAAAAAAATTTTATAACTTACATATCTAATGCAAGATTTCATAATATAGTATACATGTGTATATATGTGTGAGCGATAAGTATAAGAGAAAATTTCGATTAAAACCTCCTTGAGCGATACAAGATCTCTTTAAGTGAAAGATAAACAAAAATGGTTTTTATGTGGTCTTTCTTTGTCGAACTAATTTAAGCCATCGAAGAAAAGAAATCGAACTTAATTTGAAATGTGCGTGAGAGTCAGATAGAATGACAGGATAAAGAGAGCAAAGAAATGCAAAAGAATGACATTAGTGTTAGATATAAAACAATAAGGACAGTGTGTGGAAAGATTTGCTAAGAGAAAGATCAAAGATAAAGTTCCGAAGATTAAAGATCAGTTCCAGACAAGTGGTTGTTAATACAAAAATGATCAAAAGTAATCTTGAACAGAAATTCGCGAATGAAATACGTGTTCTGCTGTGTTCTGTTTCTTTACGTTATAAATAATATTTTGTTGTTTTCCGTTTAATATCTGAAACTATAATTAACAATATTGCATGTAAGAATACTTTTTCAATAATTCGTGGAAATAATAATGAAATTAAAGATTTTATTTGTATATATATGAAAAATAATTTATAAGATATACAATAGTTCATAATTTGTGTTATTTTATTAGATAAAGAACTTATATTCTGAAAATAATATAAGATCGTTTCAAGATAATTGGTTATCATAAGGGGAGAAAGAGATATATTAGAAATCTTACCATCCAAAAATAGAAGTACAAGAGAACCATGAAAAGAGGATATTTATTACGTTCCATTAATGTTGTTTCGATTGGTTGCTGCGCGTTTTAGGGGTGAGTGTTAGCAAGGATATCGTCGAAAAACTAGGTTATAAATTGTTCTTGGATATTTGTTACGATCAACCTTCCAGAATAAGTGGCGAACAATCGTAGCAATAAATAATTTTACCAAGTACCGTTGTGCTTCTATTTCCACACGGTGAATCTCGTCCGACTATAATTTTACGAGTGTCCTTACAAGTGTCCTACTTATCTAACTTTTCTACATTGACCAAACGAAATGTTTTCGAACGTTAGTGTCACTGATACTGAAGAAAAGTTATAAATATTACAGAACTTGACCGTAATATAAAACACGTTTCAAAATCACTAATGATGATAATGATGATATGGAATAATTGTTTTATGATTGCAATTACAAGAATGATAATAATTGAGAAATATGTATAAATGATCATTAGGTGTATAATCATATCATATAAAATGTTTTTTATGTAAATTATTTTGATATATATATCAAAATTCATAGACAACTGTTAGATTTTCGATTTTCTAATAGGATTGTTACCGCATCATGATTTAAAAGAAAATTTATTGAATTTACACGTTCATCTTCATCCGAAACGCCTCTACGGGATTGGTCCCGATATATACGTGATCGAATGTATTGGAAAACGACCATCTGATTTACGAGCTCTTTGGTCGTGTGTAAAATTTATTTATAGTCTCTTGCTACTTCGAGTTGTGGATTAAATCGACTTCAGCGTCGTGGGAGAACTAGATTGATATTTTATATTCGAATCTGACTTTATAATATATTGCTATCGCTCTATGCTTCTTTTAACTTCTGACAATATTTTACATTTCAAATTATTGATATCGTTCACATTGGATAACTGACTTTATAGATTAAAGAAAAAAAAAAATATATATATATATACTAGGGGTGCCCCGGCCACGCGTTGCTGTGGCTAATAAATATATAGATAGATCTGAATATATGCACATAACATTTGTCTTCTTTTTCTCTTTTTTCTTAATATCCTTTTAAAGGAAAAATAATTATGGTGGATTACCCTTATCACTCAGGGGTATAAGAAATATAAGAAAAACTATTCTCATACCTACCGAATATACACAAAAAATTTCATATAAATCGGTCAAGTCGTTTCGGAGAATAAGAATAACAAACACTGTGACAGGGGAATGTTATAGAGATAAAGATTTTGATACTAATTAACTTTACGAGTGCTATAAATTATATATATATATATATAGTAATAAAGATTATATCAAATTATATTTAAAAAAACAAAAACAACATTTTGTTTTATTATAATATTAGTTTATTACTAAATATTTATATTACACTAGCTTGGCGTTAAATTGAACACAATAACTTGTACCCTTTTCTAATTTATAATATACAAATAGCATATTTATAATTATTTCACATATAAAATGGACGTCTACTTAAATGTTTAATTATCATAAAAGTATTTTATTTCCCATGTATGTCTCATTGTATCGATTAAAATGATCGAAAATCGTCGTACTTATTATTGTTCCTAAATGATAATAGATATCAAATGAATAAAAGCAATAATTACCTTTGTGCATTAACACGATATTAAAGTGTATGTTACGTACTTGTAAACATTGCAACATGAGTTTAGTAATATCATAAGTTCGCATCGTTTACGAGCGCGTATGCTTACTTACGTTTAATCTCAAAGTGCCATTGTTACTATTACTATTAGTGTTATTAACACGGCGAGATAGTTCCTATAAGCTTTTACTATTATTCGTCTTCGTTCCTTGTTTTTGTTGAAAATATATCATAGTAAATAATATCGTAAATTTTTTTTAATGAAAATAAAAGAAAAAATAAATAAATCATTTATTCAGGATTCCAATTTGTCTCAATATGCATCATATTAGATAAAAAAAAATATTATTATTAATTTTCTTCAAAATAAAATCTCGAAAAAATTCCATTTACTTTTGCAGATTAATCTTTTCTCTACGACAAACGATTACAATCATTTTATATGAGATGTCACGTACATACGACTTTTGCGACTTTGACCTATACGTATATTCAAAAATATCACACACATGATAGCAAAATTGAGTTTTTTTTTTTTTTTCAAAAAACACCATCAAAGCAACTATGGTTACAATAAAGAATTGCAAGAAGTAAAAAACTTTAACGACTAATCTCGCGCAATGTGTTCACTTTTGTCGCAACGTCTCGTTTAGCGGAAGTGTCACGATGAAAAAAAACACTCGTAACGAAATATAAAATAATTAAAATCGATAAAAAAATTTAAAAAAACAAATTGTTATAAAATATTAATTCCTCGAAATAAAAATATTTCTGAGAAGTATAAATTCTAGGATCCAATATTAGAAATCATTCTCTTAAAAACACAGACCTTTTCTCGATCTTTTAATATTACCTTTGGATATATCA